CAACCACTGCAAAAGCGAGAGGATATAGATGATAATCCCCATCTTGAGCACAAGCTGCCAGTAAAGTCCCATTGAATTTACACTTCAGAAATGTACCATCTACTGCAATAACTTTCCTCATCAATGAGAATCCCCTTATCGATGGACTAAAAGCCATAAATGCATACAAGAAATTCCAGCACCATCCACATGCTGATAAGTTAAGGATCCAGGGTTTGTCTCTGAGACTTTGTACAACAACCTCGACAGATTGTAATAAATGTCTTCAGGAGTCCCTCTAAGCAAAAACTGAGCTTCTTCTTTCACTCTCCAAGCTTGTTTGTAGTTAATGTGAACGCCATGCTGAATCCTGACCTGTTCAATGATTTGTTTCGGTTTGAGACCTTCCTTCTTTTCTCCTTAATTGCTGCATATTAAAGAACCCAACAATTTTGCAGATGCTTGTCTGTGGTTTGCCTTCCTGTGTGTTGTATCGCATGTATGCTCATGAACATACTTTTTAACAACGAAAATATCTGAACGAGGTAGCTTGGTAGCACGCATCTTCCACGTGCAATTTTCATCAACACACTGCAATACCACTCTTGACTTGTTAGAAGAGACAGTCTTGTACTCAAACTTCCACTCTAGAGCCCATTTCTTCATCCTCAACATTAACACTCCCTTGGTCTTAAAATAGCTATTCACCTTAATATCACCAGCTCCTCTTATAGTTGGTGAAAGCCCAATATGGACAGAATTAAAATCCGGAAGAGCATTCAGAGGAACTGTAGAAACACCTTCATAAAGAAGACTCTGCAAAATTCAAGTTGCTCTGGAAGGATTAGTACTTGATTAGGAAGCCTATCCTGAGAAGTATAAGTAAAAAAAAAATCATAGAACGTATCTTGAACACTCTAAGGATTAATACCTCTTTTTCTCTCTGCACAGTAGAACGAAACACTGGAGTGGCATTCAATGGAACATGAGAAGCAAATATATCAGAAGCCGAGTTGTTGTAGGTAGCTGAATCAGTATTAACCTGCAAAAAGTCGAGTTGTTCTGGTAGGCTTAATACATGATTAGGAAAGCTATCCTGAACATTAATAGAAATCATACAAACAAGAACAAACCAAAAAGAATAGAAAACGATGCACCTCTTTTTCTCTCTGCACAGTAGAACGAAACACTGGAGTGACATTCAATGGAACATGAGAAGCAAATATATCAGAAGCTTGAGTGTTGTAGCTAGCTGAATCAGTATTAACCTGCAAAAATTCGAGTTGTTCTGGAAGGCTTAAACATGATTAGGAAAGCTATCCTGAACATTATAAGAAATCATACAAACAAGAACAAACCAAAAAGAATAGAAAACGATGCACCTCTTTTTCTCTCTGCACAATAGAACGAAACACTGGAGTGGCATTCAATGGAACATGAGAAGAAAATATATCAGAAGCTTGAGTGTTGTAGCTAGCTGAAACAGTATTAACCTGCAAAAAGTCGAGTTGTTCTGGAAGGGTTAATACATGATTAGGAAAGCTATCCTAAAAAAATATTTGGTTGAAAAATGATACAAACCTTAACACACAACCGAGAAGTACCACTAAAACCTCTAATCTTGCCGATGAAAGTTCTCAGATGACGAGAATTACCTATAGAGATAGGGGGATGCCTTCAACAATGGTTTTCATATCCAATGAAAAACCATAACTCAAATTGATCTCTTCCTCTTTAAGATTAAAATCTTCAGAAACAATCTTCTTCAACTCTTCATACTCGGCATCTTCTTTAATGTAAATGAAGGATGCATTTATATTTGCATCAGCAGTAAACTCCCACTGCATAGACTCTTTCGAGGTCCATTGCCCACAGACACAAAACACTTCAGCCATAGTTCGATATCTGTCAAAAACCAGAACACAAGTAAGAGACTAACAATGTAATAAGGAAGATCACGAGCCTACCAAAAAGATATCAACAGGCGTAAGCAAAACAAACAAGTCACAAAGAAAAAAAGATTCAAATTTGTTATTATCAAATATTCTGGAAAGCTTTCCTGAAAATTTAAAAACACTACAAAGTTTCACAATCATCTCATCAGAACACAAGTAAGAGACTAACAATGTAATAAGGAAGATCACGAGCCTACCAAAAAGATATCAACATGCATAAGAAAAACAAACAAGTCACAAAGCAAAAAAGATTCAAATTTGTTATTATCAAATATTCTGGAAAGCTTTCCTGAAAATTTAAAAACACTACAAAGTTTCACAATCATCTCATCAGAAACACAAGTATGAGACTAACAATGTAATAAGGAAGATCACAAGCCTACCAAAAAGATATCTACAGGCGTAAGAATGATATTATCAAATATTCTGGAAAGCTTTCCTGAAATTTTATAAACACTACAAAGTTTCACAATCATCCATCATGAGTTTTAACATCGAATTTGCTTTTCTGGAAACCAATCCTGAAACTACAAAAATCCTTCCTGAAATTTTTAAAGTACTACAAAGTTTCACAACCACAAGCACAAGAACAAAACACAAACACAAGCTAGAGATTAACAATGTTATAAACAAATTCACCAGCCTACTAAAGATATCTCAGAAGAAAATCTCAAGAACACAAACACAAACAAACAAAATGTGAAAAGAAAATCTCAAGAACACAAACAATATGATAAAAAAATTTGCTAATGTCAATGTATCAATGATAAAGTTGAAGTTGTATCTCGGTTTTCAATGTAAATCTCAAAAAACACAAACACAAACAAACAATTTGTCAAAAGCAAATCTCATCATCGTTACCAAATACCTTTAAACCAAAATCATAAAAATCCATCAAAATGGATCATAGCATCAATTTCATCAAACTGAAAATTGAAAAGTAAATATACCATATACATATGATTCGACGAAATTCGAAATCTATATAAGATAAATGTCAATCAAAAAAAAAACCATGATCGAAGATACATTTTCGAAACAGCGACAGCGGCGAAGCAGGAGAGCAGAGGGAGAGAGACGTGATGAGTGACGGTGAGATGATGACGACGAGAGATCGGAGATGTGAAAATCGTCAATAACGGAGAAGATACCTTTTCAAAACAGAGACGGCGGCGCAGCAGGAGAGTTGAGGGAGAGAGACGTGATGAGTGACGGTAAGAAGATAACGGCGAGAGATGAACGACGCCGGAGATGACGAGATGATTGACGCCGTCGTCGTGATTTGAGAAGCCAGTCGTCGAGTACTCGACTTCAATTTCTTTTTTTTTTAAAGATATTAATTAGACAAAAAAACAGAGGGATATTATGGTAAATGAGTATATTAATGAAACTTATTTTTGAGATGATGTGCCTTGGGTACTATTTTGGGGATAGAAACTTGGATTAGGGCTATTTTGGGTTTTTTTCATTTTCAAATTAAGCATATAATTTCAAAAGTTATTCGGATGAACCATCGAGACGATTTATATTTTAATGTCTAAACAAAAAATCCCTTAGAAATATGATTTAAAAAAAAAAAAATCCTTCACTATCCTATTTTTTCTGATACCTATTTTTCTGAGCCCCACAATATTTTATTTTTTCTCTTTGTGTAACTAATATTAAAAAAATAATAAAACTCTGTTTTCTCTCAGTAATTTCCTTCTATCAAAATCTCGGTTCTCCAACCAACGAAGATTCAACAAAAACGCACAAATTATTTTCAAAAACAAATATCTTTTTATTTGAATTCTTTTACACATATTTTATTGGCTATTATTTAATATATTATTTCTATATTTTATCATTATATTTTTTTTTTAATTTTTGATCTTATACCCGCATTCACCCTGCCAACATATAATATTAATAATATTAAAAATAATTATCATATATATTTTAAAAAAATATTATATTCATAATTAAAATCATATAAATATTTATAATTTTTAGATATTTTTCAAAAAGGTGTTAAATTTTATTTATTTATTTTTTCCGGTTTGTCGGTTATCCGCTGACTCAAATTTGGCTGACACGCACCAATCCCGCTTAAAAGAGTTCAACAAGCACCCGCAACTCAAATTTTTCCAATCACTCGACTCGTACCCGATCCGCAGCGGCTCAACAGGGCTGTCCCGCGGATTTTGAATAAAATTCACAGCTCCACTAACAAACATGAGAAGAAAAATGAGAAACACGAAAATATATCAACACCACCGAGTCTGTTTTATTTGTTTCAAAACCCTAAGACAGATGGTCATCACCTCCCCTAAAAAAGAATAGCTTTACTTAAACTGGACAGCTAAGCCAACTCGATCAACACTTCATAGGCGGGGAAGAAGAGGAGAAATAACTGCAAGGTAACCTATGTGGTCCTCAGAGTCATTAATTATGCATTCAACATAGCAACATTTGCTTTAGCAACTGGAACGATGAGTGTATATCTCATTGCAACTCATCCTTGGACAACCAAGCAGCAACCTACAAAGCAATGCTTTTTCTTTAATCAATAAGAAAACGCGAATTGGAAAATAAAACTTCATTCTTAGTATCTAAAGTTAAAGTCAGATCCAGTGTAACAACAGAAATAATCCTCATATATACACCAAACAGTAAGCTAAGAAACAAATGAAAACTTTGTACTCACACAAGACAATGTACATACAAATCTACAAGCATGCTACTACTACTACAAATCTTACAAACTCAAAACGAGATCACCTAGAAAGATAAAACCAGATTATGTGTCAAGCAACATCAAAATTTCAACACACAAGCAACATAAACGCTAGTTAAAAGATCACGTATGAGATTCCCCACAATCAGAAAACAAACCAATTGTACTCCAACAAAAATTCAGATTCCAAATCCAAAACTAAGCACATATAATAAATAAATAAATTTCACAAATCCTTTCAGAGGCAAAGCATAATCAGTTTATACATAGACATTTGGAGGAAAATGACAGAAAAAAAGAAGCATGGAATCAAAAGTGTGAGCACATATAATGCCTCCCAGCTGGACCGGCTAAACGATGTCTTCTGGTTGAGGAGCGGCGGAGAGAGCAAGAGGACGATTGTGGGATTCCTCGTTGTCGTCGTCATCATCATCATCGGAGGTAGATAGATTGACGCAGGCGCAACGCTCAAGGGAGGCGAAGAAGGCGGATATGACGGTTGTGCTGACCCAGCTCGCTGCCTGATCTAACTTCTCGAAGGAAGCCGTGCTCAGATTCGAGGCAGTGGAATTGATGCTGCTACTGTTATCCATTGCTTCTTGATTCTTCGGAAGATCAGGATCGTGTTTGAGGATTTTTTGGGTAGGGATTTGAATCAAAGAGAATGGAAATTGAGGATTTTTTTGACGAGGTCCAATGGAGAAATGTAATAATTAATTAATAGATGAGTATTATTAACATATTATTTTCTTTTGTCAACCATATACTCTTGATTTTAAAGGCCAAAATTACAAGCAAAGTTTCGACGAAAAAAAAAAGAAAAAAAACAAAGTCTTAACCAGATCCTATTACAAAAATCATTAAATTTTAATCCCCACTTGCAAAAACAGAAATATCTTTTGGCAAATTTTTTTTGATAATAATTAACAAATAATTTATTAATTTGAAAGAAGATTATGTATTTAAAATATTTTTTGCAATTAAATCAGAGTTTTAAATTTGTTCTGAACCTGTAGTTTAACTGGTAATCTAGTGATCCTATAATTCAATTAAACACCAAAACTAACTGATTGAATCGATAAACAACCGATATACAATATTTAAATCTTTAAAACTATATTTTGTTATTTTATCAATTATTGAATTTTATCTAAATAATTTGAAAGAATTTTTTTAAAATTATTACAAAGAATAAGAGCTAAGTTTTATGTTGTTTGGTCATAAAATTAATTATAATGTTGTTTGGAAAAATTGATAGTAGTATAAAGAAATAAATATATTATTTAAAAATATGAATAATAGTGTAAAAACTAATATTAGTAAGGGGTTATTTGCCAAATAGCCATAAAAAAAAGAAATTAGATTTTAAGAGAGAGAGTAGAGAGAGATAGGGAGAAATTGGAAGAGAGAGATGGGAATTTTGGCTACTTAGCTAATTTGGGTTTTTTTTACAGCTATAGGGTCCAATTTCTCTATTAGTAAATTACTGTAGATTTAATTATAAAGTAAAAAATATTTAATTTAAAAATTTATAAAAGAAAAGTTAGATCTAATATAATGTTTTTGTTTTAATAAGATTGATAAATTAAATCCAGCCAAACCCCCAAATTCAAAAGATTAGGGTGAACACATGTGGAACATGTGTCAAAACGTGGCTTCGACTTTTCTTGATGCAGGATGAGAGAACCAATGTCTTTGCCGGCAACATGTCGGTCCGAGAACCACCGATGTCCTCCTTCGTTTAGGTTGAACGGTTCGCATACTCCTCCTTCCTTTCAAGTTTTAACGCCGTATATCTAAGTGGATTTATCTTCAAATCACTAGCTAATTAAACCAGTGAAAAGAAAGTAGTCACCTTGTCAGAGAACACCTTCTTGTAAGAAAGATCCGACTCATTTAACTCTGTACGACCTCACTAAAGCAAACTCACTTCATACAGTCATGGAAATTTTGTCTGAATTTTATCAACGAAGAATGATACATTTTAATACAAGGAGCCGAGCATAGCTAAACGAAGAGAACCAAAACCCATAAATCAAATGGGAATAAACATAAACTAAAACTAGTCTGGATCGGTCGGAGATTATATATATTGGACATCCCTAAATGAAAATATGATCTAAGATCAGAAAAAAAAGATAAAAAAATTTCTTATTTCATCTCTTCTTTTTTTCTGTGGAAAATGGTAGAGAGAGAGCAGAAAAAAGGAAAATAGGGAGATAATATATTATCATATTCAATCATTACTATTTTGTATTTATAACTTATCATATTATAATTTAATTATTTTTCAAATAAACAAAGAAAATCATTAGAGAAAAAATTGATTAATAAAAATTCAATGTTAAAGTAATTGTTAATCAGTTATTAAAGAGTTTATAAAGATTATAATTTTAGGTAGACATGTAAGTAAAACAAATATGTTATTACTCAAATTTGAAATGGTTTGGAAAACTTAATCATAACAAAATAACTAGAGATGGTAATCATGGATCTGGACTGTGGGTCTAGCCCGTAAAGAATTGTCACGGAACGGTATTGAGACGAAGTTTTTTAGGCCCATAAATTTAAGGGGCCTCGCGGGATGGATCTTTGCAAGATTAGGTATTTTGCAGGATGGACCCGAAACAGGTTTCGTGGGATTACAAGGACCCGCATTTTTTTTGCTTTTTTTATCTGAAAAAATGAGAGAATGAGTGAGAAGAAGACGAATCATGTGACTTCCCCTAAGAAAACGTAAGAAGCTCAGTGATGCACCCTTGGGTAGAGCACCCGGCAAAATAAACATACATGGCTCGATCATGGGAAACATTAAAGATACATGTTCATTGTTTAACTCATATCTTCCAAACCACGAGGATTCTACGCATGAAATCAATTGGAGAGTGTGCTCAACTCAATTATGGAGCTCCTCGAAGAAAAACCAGATCAAATGGAGTTCATATGTGGAGTTATGTCATTTACAAATCAGATGATCTTCAGTTCTCGCGAATTCAGACATGTTCACATTCAAGTGAGCTGGACCGACACTACTTTGGAGCTGGATGAGTTAAGTGAGTTAAGTGACACTACTTTGGAACTGAATGTGCTAAGCAACACTGAAGATGGAGCTACTTTAGTTTCTGGGCGAAATGAGCATTTTTTTCATCCCCAAGAAAAATTCATAATAAATTCAGTTTAGGTCGGTTTTACACCAAATTTGACCAGGCATTTGCTGATGGTCTCCTGCCCATTTGCATCAATAAATATCAACAAAATAAGTCAGAGACGTGGTCAGGCAAAGGGTCATTCAAAAACACACTTATTTCTAGTCAAAAGTCTTAGTCTTTGTTTGTGTTTTCTAAGTTTCTAGTTTTCTACAAAAACTCTTAGTATCCTTTAACCACATTGTACTATAAATAAGGCCTAAGAGCCACAATATTAATCAGATTGTTTTCCCCTTTTTATGAGTTTATCTCTCTTTATTCTTTGTAGAACATTTCTTAGTTTCTTGGTGAGGTTATCTCCAAGTTTCGATCCTTCTTTTGTTGGACCGGTGCATCACATCCGGTAATGATCGAAGTCTGGTAGTATCATTGGGCCATCCGCAACCCTTTGTGTCACCGTTCAATCCACCAACTCTCCCTTTTGGCGTGTTTATATGCCTTTATTCCGATCGAGTGATCATGTCCAATCTCAGGACGTATCAAGTGGTATCAAAGCCACTCAACCGGTACTATCTATCAATCTTCTCATCTTTCATTTTCTAAACACTTCTTCTTCTTCTTTCTATCTCAAATCCGGGACACTACCTTACCTATCGCCATTCTTCTAGAAAAAAAAAAGAAAAAATATCTATTAAAAAAAAACAAAGTTCGATTTATTTGGCTAGGTGGTGGAAGAGAAATCCTGCTGGCTGAGGAGAAATCCATCCTTGAAGTGGTTAATACGAATTTCAAAACCAATTTTCTTATCTTTCTATCTTGTGTTTCATTCCTTGTTTGCTTGGAGAAACCATTTGATTATTTGATTTGTTCTCTTAGAACATTGAGAAGAAAACTTTGTGTGAACACTATAAATCTGAGAGAAACACTTGAGTGGGTGAGATAAACACTTGAGAGTGTGAGGATTGTTTTTTATTTGTTAACCTTTTGTGTTGAGAATTTTCAGGTTAAGATGTTTGGACTGCATAAGAAGAGTAGCTAAGAGAAATTAGAACAACAAGCTGTCTTTAAATCTTCATCTCATAACTTGTTGAATACTTTTGATGAGTTTGTTACTATGCAAGAAAGGCAAAGGAAACCACAGGAGATGTCGAACAGTAGGTGCAAAGAGAAGCTCATAACATTCAGAGTTGAAGCTGATCAAAGGAGACGTTTTCTTCAGTTTGATGTCCAAGAGTTTTGTGACAATCTTGTGGAGGGAGTGGTGAAAGCACTCAAGGATGCCAGCAAGAGCCACATGAAGAGCACACCACACGTGTACCTATAGCTGAACCATCATTATTTATCAATAAAAAACTTAAAGGTAAATCTGAAAACAACCTTGAAAATCTAAGAGATTTTTCAGATTCTTTACCAATTTTTGATGAGTATGATGAAGAGCTGATGGAAAGTTTGATCATTTGTGAGGATGAATGTGATCTTCCTTCTCCAAAAACTGATTTTTTTGTTTGATGATGAAGATACTAATGAACTAACCTGTTTTGAACCAGAGCATCCGAGTAGTCTTGTTCTAATTTCACAGGATTTTAAGAAAGAGCAATTCATCTACCCACAACAAGGACCACGTCTTGACATTAAGAGACCCTTGGACGATGTTCTAGGCCCCATCTTTGATGAAGAAGACGAACTTGGTCCTACCTTTTGATGAGAAAGCACCAAGCATCATCTCCATCAACATGGAGAATCATCTTTGCTTTGATCCCGTAACAATTCCTGTCCTTTTGTCTCATAATCCACAACAGCATTGTAAGGAACTTGGTATCATCTACTCTGTGTCTGATTTGTTTGTAAAATTCAGTTCCAGTGACATAAAACGTTTTGGTCTTGAAAAAGTAAAAGAATTTTGTATTTCAAATTCTATTTTTGATAACATGATTCATTCTTTTAAGAAACTTAAACCTGATAAACGCTTGATCAAAAACATTTTCAAAATGGAAATAACATTCCTTCTGGTCTTGTTTTGAGTTTTGATCAGTTTTTGAAACATAACAAAGGTTTTGATCACCTTATAAAACTATTTGAGCTTGTTTTGCAACATCCAGATTTATGTTTCCGAAAACCTTGTGAGTCCTTTGTTTGTTTTAAGGATAATTTTTTTGATCTGAGTTTTCCTAGTCATGAACTGATCACTAATGATTTGTTTTCTCTCTCACGTGCATGGAAAGAGTTAATGGTTGGTAAGTTGACGAAAACAAAATCACTTAGAACTGTAACCGATTTTTGTTGTGATTTTGTTTTGAAACCTGCCCATTCTTATTCTGAATCTGATCTTGAACTTTTGTGTCATGATTCTGATCATGTTAGGCACGTTTTGAAAATGTTCTATGGTATTTCCGGCCTTGACAACATTCTGGTCTACAACACATTCTATGAACTACATATTTAGCCTT